AGAAAGCAAAGGCTGTTGCACGTGTGCTCTTACAGTTTGCTGAGATGCGGATTTCGCCGGCCCACCAACCGAGGTCCCGATGGCTCCATTTGGCATGTGCGGCCCTCTGGCCCAAGAAGATTGCCTGTGGCTCAGCCTCGCATCTTTCAAGCGTGTTCTTGCTGGCGGTGTGAATTAGGCGCGGACTTTGGCTGGAGATTGTCAACGCCCTTTTTGATCGCATGGCCAGCAGTCTCAGCAGGCCCCAACAAGCCAGCTCCTGGAAAGGTTCAGCCGGATGCTTGTGCTTTTGGATGGTGTTACTTTTCCCAAGCGCCCAAGGGTTCTGCCTTTTGGGAGCTGCAAACGTGTATCACTTCGGCTCCTCAACCTTTTCAAGCACAGGAGAAACAGCAGCGAAGTTGAGATCTTGCTTTGCAAGCAGCACAACAAGCGAAATTAGCACCTGGACGACTGCCCAGGACTTGCGCAGATCCGAATGATCCCGAGACATTGGCAATATGTCGACGCTGTGACAGCAAGACCGCGAGACGCTTCTTCCACTCAATGGATCACCTGGTCGCGCAATTCTTGAATTGACAGACCAACACATCAACACTCAGCTACCCAAGATCCAAACCAAATGGAAGAGAAAGACAGAGCGTCTTCCACGCTAGCCAGGAGAAGATGAAGGAGAAGACGGATTTTCGGTTGAAGATCAAGACGTGTTTTTGCAATCAGAAACGTATCAGGGGAAAAGCAGGTCAAAAAGCAAAAGGGCAACGTCCTCTCAGCGCCTCTCTACGCTGATCGGGAGTGAGAAGAGCTGGTATGAAGGTACCAGTCAAACACGTGATTGACGAGAAGTTGACTACAAAGAATCATGGCGTGGGTCAGCAATCGCAACGTAGTCCGTCCTTTGCAACCCATGACAACGGACACGCCTGAAAGGCCATGGAGAGCAAGGCCAACCCGACTTTGCGCCACAAGCAAGGATCTCTTGGAACAAGGCGCTGTTCCACTCTTCAGTGTGGGACAGGTGCGAAACTTTTGGCGGTAAGACCTTCGTTGATCATTGCCTGGTTTCTGTCAGAACTGGAAAGCGTATCATTGATCTGGTGTTTCTGTTGGATGGAGTGGAGCGCACCTTACCACCGCGCGCTGCTCCAGATCTGCGACCCAAGCAGCGTTTGCCGGGTCCCGAAAGTCGAGTGGGTCAGCGGCGCCCGGAAGTTCGGCGACGTTGCTGCGATCTTGGGATGGGGTCTACGATGGGTGCAATCTCTATGTGTCCTCTCGTGCTGCGCAAGCAAACCGAGCAGGCCAGGCGTCACAAGTTGCGGCAAATCCACTTCATTGGCGATCCCTTGCGCGGCGCGTGTGGCAACCAAGTTTTTTTCTGGCCTTCTTCCTGCGTGACTCTCCCCTGCATGAAACTCAAGGTTTTGTGCTTTTGCAATCTGAAGCAAGCAAGTTTTCAAGACCAGACCCCAGCCGACGAGCATAGTGATCTGAACGATGTCATGTGGTTTTGTTTTGCCGGAGGCTGGCGCGTTTGTGGCGAGCACGTATTTCAGGAAAATGGTTTCACGTGCCTTTTTTTGCAGTCATCGCTGGTTTGGCTTGCGTACTTGGTTGGGCTGATCAGCCTTGCTTGTGTATCAGCCTTGAACGCTGAGGACTGCCTGCCGTCAGATGTGGACTTGTTTTTTCAATGCCAGGCGAGACCTGCCTGGCTTCACCTCGTGTGCCTGGGCTCGTTTATTATTGCGCAATGCCAGGAGTGGGCCGCCCGGCGTGTGACTCAGCTCGCATGCTGTTGTTTCGTCGAAGGTTAAAATCAGAGTATAGCTTCTTCCTGTTCACTATACACGCCCACCCAAAAGCTGCCAGAATCTTGCGAAGCAAGCCAGCAACTGCTGTTTTGTCTTCGCGCCCGTGCGCCATCTTACGGGCGGGCCAGCAACTGCACGTTCGAGCGAAGAAGCAGTCGACCAGGCGCATGAAGGTCAGCAGGGTCTCAGTCAAGCAGAGGCACAAACGCATAGAGTCGAACTCATGCTCTTTGGGCCGTGGCTTGTGCTGCTCTTCAAACAACAGCGTTCTCGCCCTGCTGAGTTGCCAGCACGTGCCGGCCCCTGGCGAGGTGGGCAAGCAGTTGGCGAGGGTTCTTTGAGACGCAGGGTCAAAGGCGCTCGTGATGCGTGATAGGAGCAGCGCAATTTTGTTTGGCAAGTTGGCTGAAAGGTTGAGGCGTCAGTGACAGTTTGATCGCGATCTCAGTTGCGACATGGACAGTGTCCCTTCCAAACATGTCCATGGCACGCGTGCGTTTTTTTGCATTAATGCAACGCAGGAAGCAAGCGCAAACTGTGGCACGAGCAGCGCCAAACAACACGCCTGAGATTGGGCTGTAGTTCTGCCAGAACGGTTGCAGAGGTTTGGTTGGCGTCCAGTGTGGAATGCGGCCTTTGATCGTCAACGCAGTTATTGATGTTTGTGTTTACGTGGCACGCGTTTATTCTTCTCTGCATGTATTTGCCTGCTCGGCCCAAGCTGAAGATGATGAACTTTTATCTAGTGCCTTTTGGGTACCAAACACAAGCCCTAATGCATGAGTGTCTGACTTGTGCAGCGTGGCAATACCGCTGTATCTTCCCTCAAAAAAGCAAGCGTGCTTATCTGTGTGTTGTCAGCCGTAGCTGCTTAGTGTACAGAATCGTGCGCCATGCGCGGCGATCCTGGACACTCCCCTAAACCGCTTCCATCCCTTGATGAGCCAGCGCAGAAGGCATTTTCGCTCCATGAACCTTGTCAAGCAAACCCCGAGGGACCCGAATCACTACGTTCGCGGAGTGATTGAGAGCGCCCCCCCCCGTCCCGGTGCACCGTTATCATGGAGACATTGCCATGTATGACGCCCAGGCTTCTCTCGCAAGGGAAGCCCTATACCACCAACCCTGGCACAGTTCAATCAGTCGAACACTACCCGACACAGAACAAAGCACAATTCAACGCTTATATCAATCAGGACACTGGCCCAATGGTTGTGCACATCGCGAGATTATTGCTGGTCTTCAACTGATGCTCAAGACTCAGAAACATGCTGAACAACGTGCTAACACGATGAAGTCCGAGAAGGAGGCTCAAGAAAAGTTTAAGGCTGCGTTGCTCTCAGGAAAGACAGGCTCCTGTGCCACCATCAGCTCCGACGATCCCGACAAACCCGTCGCCGAGCAAACTTGCATCTCCGCCCGGGTTATCGGTTCATTGTTGGTCGTTGACCCCTACGGCAAGATGGATTCGTTCCCGCCGGGAGCGCTGGAGATGCGCCCGCCGGAGACGGAGGGGGTGATGAGCAGGGCAAGGATGACGACATCAAGGGCAAGAAAAACAAGAAGAAGAAGAATCGAAGAAGGAGGAGGTCTCCTTCGTCCTCTCGGTCGTCAAGGGAGTCGTCGTCCTCGTCCTCCAAACAACGCTTCCGGCGGAAGCTTCTGAAGCATCTAATTAGGTAATTCATCGGATCCAAGTACGGATCGGGCACGTGTGAAGGAAGCTGATCGTCCCCCATTTCCGCCCGAACAATCCCGCAACTGGAGGGTCCAAGTTAGGGATGCTGTTGTTGCCACCTCTGACAAACCCGAAAGGCTTTCAGTTGGATTGAAGAAGCCTGGACATCCGAACAGACTATCAAGAACCTAAGGGATTCAGGCATCTTGTCCATCTCGGTGCCAAGTTGGCCCCGGCGCTCACGAAAATCTTGAAAGGGTGGTCCGGCTCGAAAAGTGGACATCTTCAAGGAGCAAGAGGCGAAGGAGAAGAGGTATGCTAAGCGACGACAGATCCTTCTCATCCACAAGGACTTCAGCACGAAATCTCTGATTTCGAAGGTTTGACTTCGAAGATTTGCTTTCTGTTCAGCATATCAACGAAGACTTGAACAACTTCATTGACACCATCATTATGAGAAGACACTGGAAGCATTGTTCCAGAGGCAGATCAAGAAGTACCGACCGTTGACTCACGATTTGAGTGAGTACGAACGTGCTGAGGAAGGTACTGAGAAAAGGACTTACCAGTTCTTGAAAGAAAGCGACTCCTTCGCACGAGAGACGCAATGCCAGGGAACGTGAAGGGCTGGGGCTCCGAATCAGAACCCTGCTGTTTGCAGAGTTCCGCGAGGTTTTGTATCAAATGCCAGACTGGCCAGCACAAACATGATGGTATGAATCTTCCAAGTACGGACGCGGCCTGGAAAACCAGCCGCGGTTGGGGTTGGCGCTAGAATGTTTTCCATTGTGATCAATTCGGGTCGCGCCCTTGCGAGAGCGATGGTCTGTGGAAGCGTAAGCTTTAGCTGATCTACGCTCGCCTATGAGGTGTACGATCCGTTGCCGTGACCTCATGCCTTTTGAGCTTGTTAAGGGCAACAGCATCCATTCTTGTTTGTCCTCCAGTTACACTATCGGACACGGGGGGTGTTGTTTAGATGATGAACTTTTATCTCTTGCTTTTCGGGAACCAATTCAATCCCTAATGCATGAGTGTCTCACTTGTACAGCGTGGCAATACCGCTGTACCTTGGCTCAAGGACAACAAGCGCGCTTGTTGCATTCAATTTTTATTGTTTTTGGGCCTCATCTGTACTCAGCAAGGTGTTTTAGCTGTGAAGGCGGAAGGCGCTGTGCTAGCGCGGACAAACAGCACACGGAAGTCCAGCAGCGCTGGAAGATACATTATCAGGGCAAAGCGGGCCAGCTTGCCAGCGCCTTGTAAAACGTGTGCGTGTCAGGCAGGCTCATTGAGCTTCATGACGACGCTGGGCTGCAAGGTCATCCCACGAGCGCAGGGGCGCGCGGGTTGGAGTGTTTCTTTTCTTCCATTGCGCGCAGGTGTGCGTGTTTGCATGCTGGCGGATGCGCGTGGGTGCGCGCGTGCGTGCGTGCCTGCGTGCAGGCGGGTGTTCGTTCGTGCAAGCGTGCAAGCGCCGATGCTTGCGTGCGATTGCATGTGCACACGCGCGGGCGAGCGGGCGGGCGGGCGGGCGGGCGGGCGGGCGGGGGCGGACGGGCGGGCGGGCGGGCGGGCGGGCGCTTGCACGCGCGTGCGCGTGCATGCGTTCGTGCCTGCATTGGCGCGTGCGTGCAGACGATTTTTTTGCGTGCGTGCGGGTGCCTGCGTACGTTGCGCAATGAGTTGGTTTCTTTTAATTGGAACTAAAAGTATACAAGCTGCAGAGTGGGCAGAGCCGCCAAGCAGTCGCGAACACTCACTCTGGAGTTGTGTCCACACACACACACACTCGCACGCATGCGTTCGTGCAACACGCACGTACCTGCACTTACACACGCAAGCTTGACCGCATGAACATACCTGTGGACACAAATGCGCATGTGCGCAAATGCTTTGGTTTTTATGTTGCCAGCGCTGGAGAGAAGCACAGCAATAGTACTGCTCAAAACAAGACATCGCATTGCAGCGCGGAAGGATGGACACCAATGCTGCAACGCAGCGCATCACCGCGCTACATTGCAATCAAGCGCAACGAAGCGCACTGGCAGACGCTCCAAGACCAGACAGCAAAGCGCTACAATTCCATTTGCCACCACATCCTCATTTCCCATTTGCACCACTTGCCCCGTTTGCCCCACTGCACCACATCCCATTTGCCCGTTTGCCACACTTGCACTTGACTTGACCTATGCGTAGCAGCCGCATGAGCAATCTGCACGGTTTTCTGCCTTTAGGTACGGTTGCCCAGGTCAAGCTGCACGCAGTCATTCACCCGCGCCGCGTTAAGCGCGTTGGACATCACATTTGCCATGGTCATCTTTAGAATGGCCACGAAAGACGCCTTCTGCCAAGTAACTAATGTGCGGAGAACCAACGTGCCGCATGGACAGGGACGGAGTGAGCCTGCAGTGAGCTCAATTTGGCAAATTTGGCAAAGGAACCCTGCAAGCCACGCAATGTGCACTCGTTGAGGCAGAGTTCATACATATTGGTGGGGAGATTTTGGCAAGCTAAGGAAGCACAGCGCCTTAAAGACTTGGCTGAAGAGCCGGGAACCTTTGCAGCGAGCCGTGTCGTTGAAGCGACTTTTTGATGAGTTGGGCGATGAGTAATAGATGTGCCCTTCGCACGCAAGCGCGAAATCGAACACCTTCACAACCGCGCAGTAAGCACGCTCTCCGACACGGGGACAGGGAGGAAGGGGCGCGGTCTCACACACATGAGGCGTGCATCTCGCCCACCAGAAGAACTGTACTTTCAGTCAGTTCAAGGCCCGGAAAGTGCAAGTCGGCGGGGCTTTGAACATGATATACAGTGTTAGAACAAGCAGCATGGTTGGCTACTTGTGTTGTTTTGCAGTGTGGCAGCTGGACCCTTTCCGCTCAGTTGGAAGGAAACCGAATCTGGGAAATGCCAAAGCTAGCAGAACGAAAGCTGGGTTGTCAGCGGGGCGTGTACAGGAGCTTCATTGCCCCCTGTTGCGTTGATTAGTCGGCAGACATTTTGTAGCAGGTGATCGTGCAGAATATGCTGAAATGCTACATACCCGACAAGGCCTTTTCGGGCAGCTGGTCGGTTTCAACGTTGGTCTTTAGGCGCTACCCTGGCACAAATCTTGTACTTGAGGATATGGCTCTGAGGAAGCCTGTGACCTGTTGGATGTTTTACTTGGTTTGGCCTGGCTGATTTCGTGCGGGTCTGGTCTCGGATGTTTTACTTCTGGGCTCCCCGCTAGTTGGCAGGCTTTGCGTGATGAAGTCTTCCTGCAGTGTCCCGTCATCCCGGATGACGACCAGGCAGGTTTCACAGTCAAGAGTTTGCGAAGGCTGTGAAGCGGACTGGGAGTGACGCGCTGTTTTTTGGCATGCCAGCCTTGGCCAGGGCGAGCTCAGGGCCCTGGCAGACCTCGGGGTGCGGCTGGCCGTGGTTGTTTTGGCGAAGCACGACTTTCTAGGGTGATGGCTGTGACTTGAAATTCGTGAGACATACCCTTTTCGTCTCCAGGAGCAGCGCGGCAAGTCTTGCTAGTTTGCTGCCAGACGGTAAAGACGGCAAGCTGCAAATCAAGTATCCAGCAGTCGGGGCGTCTCCCGCAGGCCTCGCTCTACGCCTACATGGGAACGGGACTTTGGTCAGAAGCGCTGAGCCAAGCGCTCAGAGGTACCCCGGCGCCGTCGCCCGTCAGACAGCGACGGGGATCGAAAGTCGGAGATTCAAACCCTCACAAGATGTTACAACATCAAATTGGCTTGAGGTGCCCAGAGCTACCAATCTTGTCATTCAATTCTTGGAGCTTGATTGTTTGACTCGCGACAAAGCCTTGGCCAAGGCCAAGTGGCAAGGCAGATTTTGCCCACAGGCGCTGTTCATTGGCACAACATTGGTTGTGCGCAGGTCCCTTCTGCTAGAGCCTTCGTAAACAGAATTCTATCAACTGATTGACTTGGCAGAGGGCAATTTTCGCCCGAGCTTGAAGATGATCGTTGTGAGCTAGCGTTGCAGGACCTGTTCGAACATACAGCCTTGCCAACCTGCAGAACGAATTTGCCGCATCCTCAGGACAGGAGTCTGACAGTCGCAAGGCATTTTTTTAATGGCAGGCTGTTTTGAAAACTGAAAGCAGCGCTGGCGCTTTTCTACATCCTTGGAACAGGTCATAAATTTCAAGGTCTCAATTGTATGCATTGTGCTAGGACATGCAAAGATTCACTAGTAAACCAGTACAATGCCAACCCCCAAGAAGGCAAGCGCCCTTTTAAAAAATATTCGCAAAAACCTCGGTAAACAACAATTCAACAGCTTTGAGGAATCCAACACATACCAACAAGCCCAATGTCAATGTCCAGAACGGAAATTCATGAATGCAAGCTTCCTCAACAACCTCGAGATGAGCACTCCCAAGAAACCTCGATAAATCCAACATGTTCAGAAACCACGGGGGCCTCTAGTTCTGATCCTTGTGCTTGCCCCAGTGATTTAGTTGCCTCAGGGTGCATTGTCATCTCGGAGTATGAACCTGTGGCTTTTGAAGCAGTTCTCAGGATTCAATGGACGCGTCCAAGCGAGGGGTGCTGGAGCCTTCACAGGTGAGCAATGGGCCGGAAGAGACAGTTGGCTCAAAACCACATTGTCGATGGTTGTTACTGTGGCAACTGATTGATTGCTGCGTCCGCCAGCGCCAGCCGCTTTTGCTTGTCCTTCGCTTTGCAATTTGCAAAGCGCCTTGCGCAGGCAATTGACCTTCTTCAGACGTTGTCGACGCCAGGCTTGACCTGTTGGGGCCCAGGCAATGCCTTGGGGGATGTTTGACTGGCATTGGCACAAGGGCCTGCGTCGCACTGCGGACTGAGCGACTACTTTTCAGCTCCGGCAATGGCATGTGTCTCGGAGTCTTTCTCATTGCGCCCCAGAGGCTTTGTCACAAGCCATTCGAAGTGCCCACATGGCCCGAATGCTGAGGCAAGGATTTTGCCGCTGTTCTGGAAGATGAGCTCGGATTGAAGGTCGCCGGGTCTGGACATGTCGGATGACTTGGATTCTGATCTGGTTCATTGGATTCATTGCTCCAAATCACTCAGACCAATTTATGGCAGCTGTATTCACATTTGCGGTGTGCTCCGGGGAATTGATGTTGTTTGGAACCAGGGCTTTGACAAGCGCGCGGTCTATTGTCAGGGTCAGTTGATGTCAGTTGTGGGTTACTCTTTGGGCGCTGATGTGAGGCTAGACACTTCGTTGTTGGACTCTGGTTCGAGCTGATTCAGTTGATTCCAGACTGCTGGCTGGGTAGATCAAACGTCCTGTAAAGGTGCCAGAGCCCGAGCTGCGAAAGTACTTCGCAGTGCGCTGCGCTCAGCGAGCGAACTACCATGCCGTTGCTTGTGTTCAACATGGCCCGCGGTTGGCTCCCCATTAACTGTTGGTCCCCACGCCGAGCTTGTCAACATGGCTTGTTTGGGTGCGTTCAAGGGCGACGAGACTGGTTTTGAGCAACTTGGTGTGCTTATGCCGGCACGCAGGATGGACACTAGCAACGATGGCGTGCTGCAGGATGAAGAGTTCATGCAGGCGATACTTTTTCTGATGTGCCCAGGCTGCAGGAGATTTCTAGGAGCCATTTTTCCTGACATGTTTGTTCTTCCAGCCGAGATGATTAGATGATTCAGACTGTGTGCAGCGTGTCTTGCATTGGCACTGCCACTGGCAGTCTGAGGCTGGACTTTTTCCCTCATTACATCCTGACCCACTTACGCCTGCCATTCCGGCCTGCTTGCGTTCAAGGTTGAAGCCACCCCGCTTGCACGTGAGCAACGGCCAAAATGTTGCGTTATGAACAGGAAGAGGGGCGCGGGGCCGAAATCCAACGGTCTGTTTAGCGTGGCCAGGACCTTCTGGCACGTTGTCTTCTTCGTCTTCCTGGTGCTGCTCACAGTTGGAATTGTCTTTCTCTTGGTCTGAAGCCTAGGAAGCCTAGTTCAGAGTTCAGAGTTCAGAGCGCCAGGATGCCCCAGGGCCGAGTGAATTGCTCAGGTCACCCTGGTGGTGAATCTTTTCAAGACAGGACAGAGCTGAGCGGGTTAGGCCAACGTTGGTGGGGCGTGACGTTCCTGACGGATTCCTGACGGATCGCCGGATCGTGTTTTTGCTCAAGGTCTGCGACTTGCCGTGTTTCTTGTTTGCTTATGTGACTCTGTGCCGTTGTTTCGCTGTTGCAGGGCGTGCGTTTCTCAGCGACGCTTCCCAAAGCCCGTGGCCATCCTTGCATCCTTGCAGCGCGTTCTTCTGGCAGACTCTTTGCCTCAACCGACTCCGGGGCATTTTCGGTGTATAGTGAACATGTCCCAAACTGTGCATAGCTTCCGGCCCTTTCTCAGATCGCATTTCCGGTGGATTGCCTTTAGAGGCTTTCCTGACTGCAGGAGCATCAAAGGCGGACTCTGCTATCCACAGCACTTTCGTGACTATATTTGGTCTGGCGAGCAAGAGGCGCCACTGGATACGGTAG